CATTTTGGGAGAGATTTTAATCTTAATGTTACGATATTAATTTTATACGATACATAATTGAGAACAGGGGGTCCTACTGTGGCGATTAAAATGGGACACCCTGTAGAGAAAGAGAGAGAGAGAGAGAGAGAGAGAGAGAGAGAGAGAGAAAGAGAGCGCGAAGGGGGGGATGAAGAGGTGAGGGAAGCGCGAACTAAGTTGCGACAGGTAGACAATTATTCAACGTCGAGAAAATTATAGGGCTAGCGGGGGTTAATTAAAGCCTGACAGAAATTAAAATTCATATTAGGAGAGCCGCGCGTCCGTCGCGATCTTATCACGGCCGTTTTATAAATCCTCGTTAGGCCGCGGTTATGTTTATGCGGTTCACGCATGTTCCCGACGAATTCCCCGTCGGAGGGGACACCCCTCGCATGATTACGCGGGCCAGCGATAAATTCCGATACCGTATCAATTACGGACTGGTTCCGCGACTTCGCGTTGCTTATTTGCCCGTCAATCATGTTCGAGAAACGAAAATGTTGCAGGGAGCCGCGATACCATCAATTGATCCGCGGAGCCCCGGGCAGATTGCTCGCGGAACTTTTTCCGAAAAACAATTTCACGTTCGACGTTCCAACGGCCGAAGAAGCTTAATGGTAATTTCCTGCGCATAAATCTCTGTTCCGTTTAAGACGAGACGACGACGAGGAGGACGACAACGATACAATGTTCCGTCTTTGGGGCGAATGAAACATTCCCGCGGCCGCCATTAATTTCGCGCGACGCCGCGCCGCACCGCGCGCGCCCCGGGCCAAATTAAAAAATCGATCTCTGAGGCCTTCCGGCTCCGATCGGACACCCCTACGCGAACTATGTTGCGCGGTTCGCCGAAACTGCTCGCGAAGAACCGAAAAGGCTGGCGCCGGTTACTGTGGCCGTACCAATTGCTCCGGCTTTGGTTTGTTTTCGGGCTTAATTAACTTTGTGTTTGTCGAACATATTTCTTTCTTTTTTGTTTATTTGCTTTATCTTCGAATAAAAAAATGTAATATGTCCGCATCGATGAATACAAAGTTTATTATGCCCTGAAAAGCAACGAAATTTTCGGCGCTATTAACTTTATATTTGTCGAATCATTTTTTTATTGTTTTATTGTTTTACCGTTTTAATATATCTCGTTCGACAAATACAAAGTTATTTACGCCCGAAAACGAGCCAAAAAGGCTACCACCCCACCCCCGCGCCGCGAGAACATCGGATCGCAAAAAGTAGTTAGGGGTAGTAGGGACGGTACGATCTTTGCTCTTTTGTTCCCCATCGTAAAACTGGGCGTTTACCCGTACATTTAGATAAATAAATAAATAAAGTCTGCGGAGCTATACTCGCGAGCCTATTCGCGAATCTGCTCGCGTCAGCTTTCTCCCGCACTCGGTCGCGCGGCCGCGGTCGCGGCCGAGATTTAACGCGCCTGAAAATTCGAGCGCGTGTAAACGCACGCGTGAGGAATTCGCGGCCGCCCACGCGGCGCAGATACGCGCGCGTCTAAAAATTGTCTCTCGGCGCGTTCGATATCGCGCCGGCGAACTTATGGCACCGTGACTTTTTCCCTCGTCTCCTCTCGGTCGTTCCGATTCACGCGGAAACCAGTCGCGGAACGGCGCGAAAAACCGTTCGGGGAAACTGGTTCTCGACCGCGACGATTTTTCGCCGGCTATCGGCGATCTAGATCGCAGGCTCGCTGACACGGCTGCCAAGTTTAGCATCGAGTGATGCCCCGTTGGCGCCGTTCATTACAGGTTTCGTCCGCGTAGGCAGTCCTAACTCGCCCCGCTCCCGAAACGGCTACTTAACAACGATATGCTTTCGCTTTTGGCACTGACGGAGGCCGAGTTTGCCAGACCGCGATAAAACGCAACTTCGATCTATCCGATTGTTGCGCGATGCGGGACGTTCCGTTGTGGTCAACCTGTTACCCGCTAGATCTACGCCGACACTCGCCGCACGATTCTAGAGGGTGACTCTGCTGCGAAGGGTTTCCCGAAGTCCCAACTTGTTCGTTTTC